AACACACCTCAGCCTTTCAGGCCTGGCCTGCAACACCCAGGTCAAGGCCAGGGGTCCCCAGAGCAGGAGGGGTCAGAGGGGAGCGGGGAGACCTTGGACCTTTCTCCAAAAACCTGGGGAACACGCCGCAACAGGCAAAAACCAAGAAGCTAGGAAGGCGTCGGCTTTCCCCGGGGAAAGTTGAGTGGTGTGCTTGCGTCTCAGGCCAGGGCGCAGGACCTGCTCGAAGTGCAGTTGAAAGGGACCAGAGAAGAATTCGGCGCCTGGATGAGAAGCAAGTCAGAGAACAAGGGGCCTGATGGGGGGGCTCTCCCCTGCCCTCCGCAGAGGGGGGAGGCAGGAGTAGAGCACCCAGCCACAGGGTCCTGACGGATCCCAGGAGCACGGGAGACAGAGAAAGCAATGCAGGAGAGCCCTCCTCCTGCCCGCCGCTCCCCTGGGAAGAGACTGGGCCCACTAGGCGCCAGGACTGTGTGAAAGTGTGACTGCACGTCCAAACTGACCGTTCAGGCGGGACATGAAGGGTCAGCTGCCTGACTCAGCCCTGACCCTGGCGCAGGGCAGGCAAACCTCACTGGGCCTCGGTTTCTCCTGTCAGTGGAGGTAACCACGAGCCCGGGCCCAGCCTCTGCAGAGTCAGCTCAGGAGGGGGCGAGGGAGAACTATTTACTCAGCACACTCTCCTGGCCTGACGGGCCCGCAGGCTGTGCCTCCTCCCCGCAGGCTGTGCTACTTGTAAGGCCATCTCAGGGGGGCTGGGACGCGCCATCCAGGTGACCAGTGATGCCACCTCCCTGTGCAGGTAATCAGCTTGGGAGCCTCAGAGCTCCGCCCACGGGCCCACTATCACCTAAGGGCCTGGCTGTCCTTCCCTGAAGGGGCCCAGTCTAGAGGAACCAGCAGGTGCAGGCACCCCAGAGGCAGGGTGGGGCCATGGCTGTGCCAGGCCAGGGGTCCTCTCCCCACCTCCTGTCGAGTGCCTGGAACCTGGCCCAAGATGACCATTGGTGTCAGCAGCCTGGGTCATGGGCTCGTTCTTGCCAAAGTCAGAAGCAAATCCAGCTGGACGTCTCGAGGGTCCAGGAATGGCCAGGAAGCCTGAAGAGCCCCATGCAACTCAAGTCCCAGCACCCCACCTGGAGAAGGCCTGTCAGCAGTGGTTGGACCCTGGGGGGACCCACTCGGAGGAGCTCGAAGCCCCAGAGGGGGTCATTGGCTCATGGGAACCACAGGACCCAGGGGTGGGCATTGCCCAGGCATCAGGGAGACCTTGTGAGAAGGAGGACAGAGTGTCTACCAGCCAGGCAGGCCCTGTTGGGCACATGTAGCCAACTCTTTAGAGTTTTAAGGGTTTTTCCTGCCTGTTCTGACCTGTGAACCATCCTTGAGGGACATCGGTAGGACACATCCCCATTTGCAGCTGGGGAGATGGGGGTGCAGGACAGAAGACCTGCCTGACTCGGCTCCCCCATCTGAGGCCCGGGCACTAACTTCCTTTCCATGAGACCAATGAGAGGGGCCACCTCCCGGCCCATGTGGGGCCCTCGCTGCCCCAGGCCAGCAGAGGCACCACGGGAGTTGGGGCTGTTCCAGGCAGTTTCCGCTTCCGGGCAGGACCCAGCTCAGCTCTGAGACAGAGGAGGGGACACTCACAGCCGCTGCATGACCCGGGCTCACAGCCCTCACTGGGTCACCTGGGAACAAAGTGACAACTTGTCCTGATAACTCAGACACAAGATTTTCACACCAGGTGTTGCTTTCACAAGACAAGCAAAGCACATCTGAACTGGGTATTAAGTAGAAAAAGGAGGTATTTCCCTTTATTTGGCTTGTACTGGCAACCTGTAACATATTCTAAGTATTGTCAGGGAAGGTTCCTTTGTTCTGAGGGAACTTCAGGATTGCAATGTTAAGATGAAAATGCTGAAAGCAGCGTCACAAGGTAGAAAGGATTCAGGATTTCAGGTCGGCCTTGTGACTCATGTGAACATTCATGCTGGTGCCTCAGTTCCTGTAAGTTGGCCCTACAAGTAGCACAGCCTGCGGGGAGGAGGCACAGCCTGCGGGCCCGTCAGGCCAGGAGAGTGTGCTGAGTAAGTAGTTCTCCCTCGCCCCCTCCTGAGCTGACTCTGCAGAGGCTGGGCCCGGACTCGTGGTTACCTCCCTGACAGGAGAAACCGAGGCCCAGTGAGGTTTGCCTGCCCTGCGCCAGGGTCAGGGCTGAGTCAGGCAGCTGACCCTTCATGTCCCGCCTGAACGGTCAGTTTGGACGTGCAGTCACACTTTCACACAGTCCTGGCGCCTAGTGGGCCCAGTCTCTTCCCAGGGGAGTGGCGGGCAGGAGGAGGGCTCTCCTGCATTGCTTTTCTCTGTCTCCCGTGCTCCTGGGATCCGTCAGGGCCCTGTGGCTGGGTGCTCTACTCCTGCCTCCCCCCTCTGCGGAGGGCAGGGGAGAGCCCCCCATCAGGCCCCTTGTTCTCTGACTTGCTTCTCATCCAGGCGCCGAATTCTTCTCTGGTCCCTTTCAACTGCACTTCGAGCAGGTCCTGCGCCCTGGCCTGAGACGCGAGCACGCCACTCAACTTTCCCCGGGGAAAGCCAACGCCTTCCTAGCTTCTTGGTTTTTGCCTGTTGTGGCGTGCTCCCCAGGTTTTTGGAGAAAGGTCCGAGGTCTCCCCGCTCCCCTCTGACCCCTCCTGCTCTGGGGACCCCTGGCCTTGACCTGGGTGTTGCAGGCCAGGCCTGAAAGGCTGAGGTGTGTTCATTAACTCCCCCGATAACCCTCCGTGTCACCTGCGGCTCCGTCTTATCTGGGTTCACGGCCCTTCTTTCATCTCTCACCCTTCTCTGGTCCTGGAGGTTTTGCAAAACCCACCTCGGTCTTCCCCCACAGACCTGACCTCTCTGCTCCCCACTGCCTGTGATTGTGGTGACTGGATCCACTTGACTTCCATTTCCCAACAGCGCCATTCTACAGAGGAGCCTCTGGTGCGTGTTCAGCTGGTTTGGGAGCTGGTCCGTGACAACCAGCTGCCTCCAACTGCAGGGACACACCTCTCCCAACCCCAGTCACCCACCCGCCCCCTTGGCTGAACCTCCTCCAGGTTCTTGCCCCAGGACACTCCCTGTGGTCTTGGGAGGGAAACCCCAGACCCGGGCCACAGCTAGAGCTTGTCCCCGCTTCCGTCCCTGTTCACACATGGGTCCTTCGGGCTTCAAGCAGGAATTGGGCACCACATCGGTGCAGACTGGACGGCTCTGGGGGTATGGGTGAGGTAGGAGGGCGGCAGAACCCGAAGGCAGAGTCACTGCTTGCTGGCTGTGGCGTGGAGCAAGGCACCTGGCTCCCTGAGCCCCAGTTTGCTCATCTGGCTTGTGGGGTGAGAGCAGGGCAGCTGCACTCACACATGCCAGTGCTGCTGGGAGCTCAGGGAGCAGAGCTGGCCTGGCCTGCAGGCCCAGGCTTCTAGCAGGAGCTCATAGATGCACTAATGTCACCCTTCCATTGGCATTTTGCTCTGGGATCCAATAAAAGTTGTTTTCGCCCTGTCTCTGACTCTCACGCCAACTCAGGGGAAGCTTTATAACCATGATGAAGAGACTGAGGCTCAGAGTGTTTGGGTGACTTTCTGAACCCACACAGCTGTTAATTAAGTGCAGACTCTGAGCTTGGCCCAGGTGTGTAGCCTCAGGTCTGGGTCACCTAGACCCAGGCAGTGCTGGCACCACCAATGAAACAGTGCAGGTGAGTGTCTGGGTAGAGAAAACTCAAGAGAAGAGACCCTCTGGGGAAGGTGGAGTCTTTCTGCGTTGTGTTCCACTAAGTGAATTTGCACCCCGGGGGCCACGTTGACGTAAAAGGTGTCAGTTTCACAGGACCAAGTCCCGCTTTAGGTTACAGTGTCCCCCGCAGAGTGGCTTAAGCCAAATTTGGGCAGAAGAGCGGTCCTTTCCGGACAAGCACGTTCCTGGGAGGATCCAGGGGGAGCTGAGTCCTCCAGGCTGGGGCATCAGGGCTTCCAGAACTGTGACCCCCGGGCAGGGCATTGGAGGGCCAGAGGGACCCATGTGTGCACAGGGACGGAAGTGGGCACAAGCTCTAGCTGAGGCCTGGGACTGGGGTTTCCCTCCCAAGACCACAGGGAGTGTCCCCGGGCAAGAACCTGGAAGGAGTTTCAGCCGAGGGTGAGGGTAGGTGAGTGGGGGGAGGGGGGTGTCACTCTACTTCTTCTGTCAAGGGGATGTTGTGATTTTTTTGCTATCCAGGGTGCCTGTGTCACATGACTGAGGAGGAGAAAGGTCTTAGGCAAGTGCCTGATTGAACTGGAGTAGGCGAAACAGATGGAGACACCATCACTTCTGCTCACCTGGGGAGAGGAGACCTGCTTCTAGAAGGAAGGTCCTGCAGAAGAGTTGGAATGACAAGGACAGAAAATATGTTCCCAGAGGCCCAACTGGAAGCAACTCCAGGAAAAAAATCAACCAGAGTCACTTGCAGGAAGGAGCTGTGTGCTGTGGGGTCTGGTCTCACCCAGGTGACCCTGGGGAGAAGCAGAGACCCAGCCAGGGCTTCTTTCAGAGTCTGGAGACCTCGGGGTGCATTGCCCCCAGGGAGCTGACAGCCCTGGGATAACTGGGAAGCAGCCTGGTGATCTAGTCTTCACCCTGCAGGCTGGGGGAGCCTGGGGCCTCCATGAGCCCTGCAGGGGCAGGCCCTTACCAGGCCCATCTGGTGGATGCTTGATGGAGGTGGGGGCCTGAGGCCCTATCTGAGCCCAGGTGATTGTGCCTCAGGATTCCCAGAGAGACTGGAAAACCTAGAGCTTTCCATAACAGAACTGGGAAGAGTCAGGAAGCTGCTGATTGCAACCTGCACCTGGCCAGGTCAATTCTGAATATTTGTCAACAGATGGACACATGAAGGCAGCTGTGACCTGGAGTCCCCCCGCATCCTAACGTAAAGGGAGACTCAGAAGCAAGAGTCACAAAGGTGAGTCACACTCGAACTCGGGCCTGGTTGACCCTTCTTTAATTTCAGGGAGGAGGGGAAGGGGCTGACCCCTCCTGAGAGAGGGGGGTTAGCCCTGCTTGGGATTCACCACCTTTCCCATGAAGAGGATCGAGTGGGTGTTCTTATCATAGAGGATTATGAGGAAGGGCCTGTTGAAGTGGACCTCTGGGGGAACAGACATGGGGATGGCCCCCACAAACGTGGCCCCAGTGGCTTCCGTCCCTTTCTCATCGATGTTCAGCACGGCTTTGTGCAGGGCCTGGAGGGGAGAGAGCACAGAGGACCAATGAGAGCAGAGTCAAGCTTCCTGAATCCCACGCAGGCCTGTGAGGAAGGCTGGGAACGGAGGGGGTTTCCCTGGGCCTCTCTCAACACCGGCCTGGCTCCCTGCAGGAGGCCCAGGGCCTTCCTCCACCTCCTCAAGGCCTCACACCTTCCCGCACACCTCTATGCCTAGAGCAGGTGGAAGCCCCTTGGGGAGCAGGGCTCTGAGGGGGACTTGCACGGCCTCGGCCACAACCAGGCACAGCTTGCAGCCAGCAACTGCACGGCAGTGTTTTCTCCGGCCACCTTTCACTTCCTGGACAAATGGCGTCTTAGCCCAAATCCCCTGTGAACTCTGGGCCCTGATTCCCAGGAGCTCCCTGTGGCATGGGGCGCAGGGGCCAGAAGTCCTCACGTGCCAGGGCCCAAGCTTCCCTTAGGATTTGGGTCCTTCAAGACCCCAAGAAGGGAGGCCTCAGCTGTGGGTGGGACAGAGGGTCTGTGATGCCCCCTCAGAGGCGGTCCTGGCACGCCAGGCGCCTCCTGAGCCATCACCCGGCCACGTTCCCCTCCCAGGGCTCCCCCGGCCTCCTCTGAGGACCTCGCTGTGCTGGCTCATCTGTGTCCCTTTGTCCCCCTCAGCCTCCTCCTGAGCCGCGGCCTGGGCTGCTGGTGCAACTCACCTTGTTCAGCTTGAGGGGCGCCTGCTCAGTAATCCCTGAGAGGTCGGCCTCGTTGCTGAAGACCTTGGTGATGCCCATTTTAGCCATGAGAGTTTTCAGATCATACTTTCCAGAAATGGACAGTTTGGGCAGTTTTAAACTGGCGGATCTGTACCATGGAAAGAAAAGGAATGAGTTTCTCTGCATTGAAAGTGTCTCCGTTCTGGTTTCTCCCATGTGGCACCTGAATCCCTGCCCACATGAGGAACAAGCTCAGCCTGGCTTTCTTCTTCTTTGGGGTAACGATCTAGAGACTGTTGGAGTGATCCGTTTCCTCCTCCAGCAAAGCCTCCCAAAGGCCATCTCCTCCGAGGAGCCCTCCTGGTAGGCCCTGGTGTCCTCTGGGGTTTGGTCACCCAGGCTGGGATGGCAATCCCGGGGGAGTGGGCGGTGGTGGTGGTGCTGAGACACGTTTGTCCAGTGAGTGGCCAGTGACTGTGTGGGCTGATGACCGCCTCATTTTCCACGGGGACAAAGTGTGACCCCTGAGAGGCGGGAGTGGGCCTGACAGCCCTCGGGCTCCACCTGCCCCGGTTCTGGCTCAGTCCTCCCTGGCTCTGCACTGTCCACCCGGGAATACTGCACCAGGTGCCTCCTGCTACACTGTGTAGTTGTGGAGTGGCCAGTTGGACCAAGGCTAAGAAAGGTGCTATTTTAATTTTAGCCTTTTGTATTTTTATATATACATAATTTTATTAATGTTGCCAACGTTTAATATGAACTGATAGTAGTGCATACATGGAGAATAAAATAATGTGGATGTGCATGATCAAAAAGCTCTAATTGATACGGGAGAGAAGTAAAAGAAGGATGATGCAATAAATATATTTTTAAAGTAAAGGAGAATAATAATGGAGGTCACCGGGCCGGGGCCCCCTCAGGGTGCTTCCTGTGATCATTTCTAGTCGTTTATTTTTAATTGCTGTCGCGATGGTTTAGGACACAGTATGTGATTTAGGAGTGCAGGGTCACAGCTCATCAGATGTTCCCTTTTGCATTTTTATATTTATATTTATTTGCTAGGTATTCTTTTACCTATGATTTCTTTCACCTCTTCTATTTTAAATGTTGAGTGATTGATTTATAATGCTGCCTATATTTTTATATTCATAGAGGATTAAAACAGCGTGTGCGGGCTCGCGCGTGTTTATGGACCTAGACATGTGTGCTAGCTTGGGGCGCAGGCTCAGGATTATTCCCGGGGGGACCCTGTCCAACCACAGGGACAACGGGAGGCGGCACCGGCCATCCTCACGTGCTCTGCAATGCCCTGGCCCTTTGCTTCCCGGCCCCTCCAAGTGGGTTCCTCCTCCGAGCAGCGTGGACTGTCCACCCTTTAACTGCATGCTTGGCCTTGGCCTCGAACTCCTACTTTCCTGATGGTGGGTGACGGGAAGCTCTCCCAGCACCAGGCCCGTGCGACCAGACAGGGCAGTGCCCATGGCGGGTGGGGGTCCCCAAGGACAGGACTTCAGCTCCTCACCTGCCGGGCACTGTCCCCTTGGGAGCCGGCTGGTGCTCCCTGGTGGGACCCTGGCCTTCGTCACAGTCATGGGGTCAGGCACAGTGGCCGTGGAGTGTGGGCCAGCCCCGGCCCGCCAGGCCTGTGGGGCAGCTCGGGTCAGCCCCGTGCCCGGAAGTTACCTTCCGTATCTCTTTTCCAGGAACCTGCCGAGGAATTCCTGGTTCATTGTGTCCTCCACATGCTGCATCTTCCCCTGGTCGGGCAGGAGGAAGAGGGCGGTGGCGTTGCCCTCGTAGTCCATCCGGAGCACCCAGCTGTGCAGCTTGCTGCAGTGCTGGATGGCAAACATGCCCAGGCGGCTCATCATGGGCACCTTGACGGTGGTCTCGTCGTCCACGTGGAAGTCCTCTTCGGTGGTTTGCGCAGCATCGAAAGGCTTCACCCACTTGCCTGGAGAGAAGGGAAGGGGCCGTCAGCCAGGGTAGGAAAAGGGTTAGCTCAGCAGAGGACCAGGGGCCTTGAGCTTCCCGCGGAGAGTCCCCTCTGGACTGGCCTCGGCTTCGGCACCTGCAAAATGGGACTAAAAGGAGCAAACAGGTTACTGCCAGGACGGGGTGAGGGGCGTGCGAGCCGAGAGGCACACCTGGCATTTGTATGTCGCTGGAGCTCCGGAGCGCCGGCCTGGCTGCTCAGAAAAAGCGTTTTTACCTGCACTTGTTTTTCTGGCTGTCTGTCTTGGGAGACGGCCCTGCTCCCTGAGGGGTTCCCAAGCACAGGAGGACATGAAAGGCTCTGAAAAGGCCTGCAGAGAAGATGGTGACTGACTGCTGGCCTCGTTCCCCGCCCTCATCAGTCCTGGAAAGCCTTTTAGTGGTTGTGTGTGGAAACTGAGTGACTCCTGCTGAGACGCGCTGCCTGGGGAGATGTCGGGACTGGGCGTTTGAGGACACCGTGGGGTGTTCCCTTTGGCCATAGCTCAGGCTGGTGGTGCACCTTACCTTTAAAGAAAATGTAGTTCACCAGAGCAAAAACTGTGTCTTTGTCAAGGTCTTGGACCAAATCCACAATCTTTCCTTGGGTTCCCTTCTCTACATAATCGTTGATCTGTTTCTTGGCCTCTTCGGGGTTCTGGAAGTTGGTAGAGAAGGCCTCGGAGCGGTAGATTTTCTTGACATCCTCAGAAAACTTGTCCACCAGCTTCAGGCCCTCGCTGATGAATAGACCGTTGCCGGTGGTCAGCTGCAGCTGGCTGTCTGGCTGGTTGAGGGTGTAGAGAAGGTGCTGGAAGCCGTCTTGAATGTCAGCCTCTGCTCTCTCAGTGAGGTTGAAATGTAGACCCTCCAGCATCTGGGTGTGAGTTTCACCCTTGCTCCCGAGGGAGAGGAGGGCGAAGGCTGTAGCGATGCTCACAGGGGAGAAGAAGATGTTCGTGGTGTTAGACTCGTGAGCCACCTGCCGGTACAGGTGGAAGGTGAAGTCGAGCAGGTAGGGGGCGATCTTCTGGCAGGCTAGATGCTGCTTGGCTGGATCTGTCTCCTGGACGGCTTCTCCCTGGAGACCATCATCAGCCAGGTTGCTGGGGAGCAGGCAGCACAGGCCTGCCAGCAGGAGGAGGCCCCACGTGCTGGAGGAGGGCATCGTCCTGCAAGACAGAAGGGGCGCCACGCCCGAGTCATGCACGGACACCAGGTAAAGCAGCGCGGTTGGCTAAACGTCCACGAGCACCAGCCTGGCACATTCCTACATCCTCGCTGTCCAGTCACAGCACCAGCAACGCCTCTGACGCGCTTCCCACCCACTCCCTCTCGGCTCTCTGCCTCCCGGCACTGTCCTCTGGGCGCCTTCCCGGCAGGCGGTAGGTGACAGCCCCTGTGCACAGACAGGGAGACCAGAGCGCCAAGAGGGGAGCCCTTGTCCAAGGCCACGGAGCAAAGGAAGCAGCAGCCCAGGATCACATGCCTGGGGATCGCAGGCCCCGCTAACACCTGCCCTGACCCTGAGGTGCAGGTGCACAGCCCCTTTGCCAGAAGAGGAAACCGAGGCTCGGGAGGCACAGGGGCACGCACCTGGCCACTCGGGAAGAGGCGGGCCGTCGCTGGGATGCTGGGATCAGGGACAGCTCTGAGTGGGCTGCACTGGACCCCGTTATTTGATGGGGGACAGGCTGAGCCCAGGGGGGAAGGACCTGGCTCAGTGACCCACGCCAGACGGGACAGGGCTGCCTGATTCCAACTCCAACCACCCCCCCAAACCCCCAACTCCGGCTCCTCTTCCTGTGTGGCTGCGGCCTGCTTTATAGTCGCCTAAGTCTGTGGCGGTGGCCGCCCGCCCTGCAAGACGCCGGGCCTGGGGCGCTGTGCTGAAGGAAGTGCAGGAGAGCCTCAGGCTCCAGGCTCGCACGGACATGGGCTTTCACCTCCAGAAGCTTCTTGCTGACTTCATGTGTGGGACGTGCAAACTGAGGCTCAGAAGCCAGTGATAAAACGGCCATTGTCCCCACAGTTGGATCAGCTGCTCATCCTGTCTCCCCAGAGGCCCCACCCTGAGTCCAGCATCTAATGAGCATTAGTGATGCTGGACTCTTCAGTAAAGTGGGGGCTTATGTGTGTGTGTAGGGGCAGCATGGGAAGGAGCTGAAAAATGTCTCTTTTCAGACAGACCTGTCTGCTAACTGGCACTTTACTTACCAGCTCTGTGATCTAGGACAAGCCATTTAGTCTTCCTCACCTTATTTTGCCTCTTATAGAAAGTAAGGTTGCTAGGAGAATTTAGTGAAATAAGTCTGGATGACAAACCTGACATTGAAGGGGGCTGAGCGCATAGTTCTTTGAGGGAGGAGCTAGTAGGGGCTGGAAGCTCAAAGCCTTTAGAGGACAGGAAGGAGAGGAGAGGTATTGTGGCTGGGGGAGGCAATAGGGAAAGGTGAGGCCTGTGGCTGAACTAGTGAAAATAGTCAGTTCCACTGGAAACACCACAAAGCCCTCCCTGCCCTGCAGAGCCCTCTCCACTCTGGATTTACCTCAGCCTCTTTTCTTTTTTTTTTTTTTTTTAAGATTTATTTATTTTGCACACAAGATCAGGGGTACAGGCCAGAGGTGCAGGGTGTGAGAGGATTCACCAGAGAATGAGTGGAGAGCAGAACAGGAGGATCTACTGAAACACACTGCTGAGGGGAGCAGTGGGCGAGTCAGGAGAGGTCTGCTGTGCCGTGTGGGTCAGCTCCCTGGCCTGGGATCGAACTCAGGCCATAGCTATGATAGTGCTGAAATTTAACCCCTAGGCCACCAGGGAGGCCCTGCCTCAGCCTCTTAAGTGTTATTTGCTCTCTTCACAGATGGGGAAACTGAGATCTGAGCATGGGAGAATTGCCAACAGCACATAGTTAATAATTACTCACCTAACGAAGGTAGTTATTTAATGCAGGCAAAGGAGCTTGTCCATTTGGAATTCAAAAACCAGAGAGGAAAACCCTGGGAGATGAAGTGCTGGGTTCCAGCTACCCTCTCAGACTTTCAACACTTTCTCTCGAATAAAATGACAAAAGAAGCCCAGGACTGGGTTCTTGCCACCACCGTTGCCCCTGACCTTCGTGCCTCTAAATAATCCAAATAGAACAGACCACCAAGACCCAATGCATCTTTCTTCACTAGCTGGTAGGTGGTGCTAAAATTAGTTCTGGAGGTTTCCATCTCTCTCCACTGGGTTTTGGTCCTTCATAGGTTATGGACCAGTTCTGCTGACCTCGGAGATCAGGAGGGATTTGGGCCCACGCAGACTGAGGACATGAAATCTGCCCTGCACACTGGCCCTGGCTAAGCATCTTCTTCGCCTGGGGCTTCTCTCCCCAGCTGTGTGAAACCAGGTGGGGGAAGATCTAAATGAGGTCCCTCTGTGCTGACACTGGATCTGTAGCTAAGGGATATTTGGGTTGGGTGGTATTAAATGGAATGAGATTCCCATTCTCAGTGGCTGCTACCCCCGAGAAGCTGGGGGGCTGAGGTGGGGAGGGCCACAGCTGGGGTGAGAATGTCCCCCTACTCCTGCCCCCAGGATATCTCCCAAGGTGTTACATCACCCGCTCAGACTTCCTCCTTTTATAGGAATGGGTCTGAGGCCCAGAGTGGGTGAGGGCCTCGCCAAGGTCACACAGCAGGTCAGTGACAACGCTGAAACAATCCTTGGTTTTCGTTTTCCCACCACCCAAACCACAGACAAGACAGTCAAATGTCTCAGACTCTGTGAACTTCAGAACTGGGCCCTGAGGGACCGGACTGCACTGCAGGCCTCCTGCAGTTTTGTCCAGCTTCAGAGAAGCAGCCTTTGGCTCTCTCCTTGGCCATCTATCAAAAGCAATGCCCAACACCCCAAGACCTCGTGCTGGGGAAGCCAATCAGAGATGAGAAAGCTGATGAGACACGTCCAGAAGAACAGGTTAAGGTTTGTCGCTGTGGCGTCTATGGGGCCTGGGGCTGAGGTTTGCAGCCTGCATGGGGAGTGGGAAGTGAACAGGCCTGTGTCCGGTCTCACACCATGTCCACTCAAGAGCATAGCCTGAGTGGTCAAGAGTGACCTGGGGACCAGGCAAGAGACTGCAGCATCAGCTCACAGCCTGCTGAACCCTGCCACGAAATCAACCAGGTGACCAGCCCTGCCACCTATGGGTAGGTGACCTTGGGCCTGGGAGCCTGGGCTTCCTGTCCATAAGATGAGCAAAGATTCCCTGCCAAGCCAGATACAGAACTAACAAGGTGGGTGGGCTCCTCCCAGGTGCCAGGTGAGGGGGCCCTTGCACACCTGCACATAGGTCAGTTCCTGTTGGAGAACTGGCAGACTTCCCCTGGCAGCGACTGCAGTGCCCGGGACCAGAGAAAAGGGCCTTTCTCAGCACAGCTGGACTCTGAGTTGAAAATTTTGAGCAAAACTCCCCAAGTCTATCTACTACTGCCTTACTTTGTTTAGCTGCCTTACCCCTAACCCTTTGACCAGCAAATAACAGTGTCGGCATCACCATGATCCCTGTCACACTTGGTAAACATCAGGTATTTTATAGGTCCCTCAGTGCTGACCTGTAAGATGGGAATTATAATTAGCCCATTTTATAGAGGGAGACCTCAAGGCCTAAGAGGCTAAGAAACTTGCTGAATACTACAGAGCTGTTTGCACATGGAACTGGTTTAGTCCTAGGCATGTTGATTCCAGAACCTGATATTTAGCCCTTTTCTTTGTAAAAAGCTGAAGCCACAGGCCTTGAATTGGTAAACCTCAGAGCGGCCTGGCTACGTGAAGAGGGAAACACCTCTGTGTGGCTAAGCTCAGAGGCACAAGGCCTCAATGCCCGAGTTCAACTTGCTATTCGCTGTGTGACCTTGGACAAGTTACTCGACCTCTCTGAACCTCCGTTTCCTGGAGACCATCATGGTGCATTGCCTCATAGAGCTGTGATGCAAATCCAACAGACACAGCGTCAGTAGACACAGCGCTGAGGAGAGCCTGGGGCACAGTCAGCTCAGGAAGCACCACTGTTGGAGGTTCCGGAGCGGGAGTGGGCCTGCTAGTCTGGTGGGTCTGTCAGCCCACTGCGTGGAGTCTGGTTGCCTTGACCCTCTTCAAAACCACATACAGAAAAATAAAAATTCCCTCCACTCCAGAGGTCAAGGCTGGTGGGTGGGGCAAGGAGGAAGAGGGCGAAGGTTATCTAGGTTCTGCCCAAGAGGACAAAGCCATCGAGCAGCCATGTGGCCCAGCCTCAGAGCAGCCGCACGCCCTGGCTTCCCGCGCTCCAGCTGCGCCTGACACTAGCTGAAATACGTGGGTGGGAGGCGGCCGTCAGGAGCATTGCTCCAGAGCTAGGCGGCCCGGGTTCAAAAGGTGCGTAATTGGTGGCAAATTCTTAACCTCTCTGCCCCCAATTTCCTCATTTGTAAAACAGGAATAACCACAGTAACCGCTCCAGGAGCTTGCTGGAAGGGAGGCGTAACAGGGCATCAGCGTCTGAGGAGCTGCCTGGCCAGCGAGCGTGCTCAGGAACATCAGCCTGTCCTCGAAGGAGCCCTTCTGGGGCTTCCCACCTCCCACTGCCCATGAGGCCCACAAGGCCCACTTTGATACCTCCTGGCTGAGGCCTGGCCCAGTTCTCTTCTGGGCACAGCAGCAAAGTGTGGAGGCTGGACCTCTGGCTTCCTGCCCACTCGCTGCCCCTCCAGGTCCTGGTGAGCCTGGGCTGGGCACTGTCTCTCTCTGGGCCTTAACATCCCCGTCTGGAGAGAAGGGAGGAGAGCTATACACCCGTTCAGGAGGGAGGTGGTGAAGCTTGCGGAGGCAGATAGGGAAGACACAGGAGCTGTGCCAACAGGAACAGGCTCCATCCCAGGGTGCCAGAGTCCCTGCTGCCTACCAGGGCCAGTTTATTCAAGGAGGTGGGGAGGCCCTGGGCAGGTTGGGGGATCATGAAAGCACCTCCAGGTCTGCTGTTACTATGACAACAAGAGGCGCTGTCCCAGCCCGCTCCATGCTCCCTGCATGCCTGGGATGGCCTCTGCCTCCAGGCCCAGGCCCGCTGCCTGCCCAGGCACAGGCCCCCTGGAGCCGCCACAGACGCCCTCCCTGGTGGAAGGCATACTTACGGTTCACTGTCCCAGGCTGGCTGGCAACCAAAGCTGAGGAGACAGAGCCCCGTCCTGTCCTGTATTTAAGCGGTGGACCCAGAGGGGGCTGGGGAGCCTGCTGGTAAATATTAACCAAGGTCACTTCAGTTATCTGAGGAGCAAACAGGGACTAAGTCCGTTGGCCGGACACTGGGCCTCCCACCCACGCTGCCTACGTCTCTCCGTGGGCAGCACGCAGCCCTCTGTCCATGCACCAAAGGGAGTCCTGGCACCCAGCTCATAAACCTTGCGTCCCGCGTCCAAGGTGGGGTGCCATGACTCAGGCCTCTCTGGGACAGATGTCTTGCTGGCCCCGCTCCTGCGGGGGATTCTCATGGCCGCCATACTGGTGGCAGGGCTGCTCTTTATGGGGCTGCCTTGAGATGCCTGCTCCTAAGAAGCTCTGGCCGTGGGGGGCCAGAGTGGGTTACAAGTCCATTTGACAGACTGGGAAACTGAGGCCCAGAGCAGAGAGGCGGCTCATTCAAAGTCACCAAGCCAGCCTGAAATACAAAAATCCCTCTGTTCTTTCCTGAGGAGACAGCGGCACCAGTGAGGCTCTTCCACAGGCATGGCGGCCGCAGCACAGGCTGGGGTGAGAGAACAAATCTGGAGGAGCTGTGCCCACCTCTCCCACGAGGGAAGCACTTCATCCACCTTGGAGGGGGCGGACGGCCCACTTCCCGGCGTGTCGGAAATGCAGAGTAACTTACAGAACACCCTGGGCATACATGTTGCTCCACGCCCCCCTGGGGCTAGTGCAGGACCTTGGGGTGCAATAGTTGAGGGTGGCAGTGTGGGGTCCCTTTAAAACCCAAGGCAGGCATCAGCCTGTGCCGCCCCCAGGCCTGCTGGGCCCGAGCATGTCCTCCCCGGGCATCTGCGGGCTGAGCGAGCCTGTCCCGCTCTCCTTCCCTGAGTCCCAGTCCTGGGCTCCGGCTGCTGGGTCTCTCCAGACACAGCTTCAGGCCAGGGAACCCCCTCAGGGCTGTGAGACCTTGGGCGAGCTGAGTAACCCCGTGCCTCAGTTTCTCCATTTGTAAAATGGGGACCTTAGAGCACATACCTCATTGGACTGCTGCCAGCAGTTGGAGGGGCTCAGCTCAGCGCGGGGTGCACACAGTGAGCCCTCTGTGGCCCTGCCCTCCCTGAGACCCCACCCCCTCCTGCTTCTGGAGGGAGGGGGAACATTCCAGAAGGTTTCCTCCAGGTGTCTCTGTCGTGCGTGCGCGCTGTAACCCAGTGAGGGGAGCATGACACCCCCAGACAGGGGCAGAGACAGCGCAAGCTCAAGACATCCCTCTCTTCTCCCTCCCCACCCGCAACTTTGACTGCCCGGTTTCCGAGGGGCGCTTTCCCTTGAGCTGGCTGAGAACGGACATCTCTTTACCCACCCACAGGCGGGGGAGCTAGGCTGTGAGGGGAACCCTGCACTCCACATATGCAGGACACTTCCTCCCCTCCCAGTGCCTCAGTTTCCCCATTTGTACAATGGTTTCCCTCCAAGCCCAGCTGCCCCGTCCAGCTCTCACAGCTGATACCCCACTGTCCAGGTCCACACTCTGGCCAAACTTGGCACCTCAGAGATTGCTTGGGGGTTGGTGGGAGGTACCACCTGCCCCCCCTTACCTCCAATTCCTTGGATGTGAAGGTGGTGGCCACGCCCCCTGCAGCGACCCTACCTCCTTCACTTCCTCCTCGGGGTTCAAGGTTGCAGCTCCAGGGAGAGGGCACAGTGCCCAGTCTCTGTCTCCGGGAGGAAGGAGGCTCCGGTGGCCAGTGGTGGGTGGGGTGGAGGTGACAGAGGCAGCAGGCCCGGGAGGGGCGGGAGCTGGGGCAGGAAGTCGCTTTGCACAAAGCTGCGGGCGGACTCCAGAGGTCCTGCCCTTCCAAGGTGTCACCTGCTGTCCCAGGACGAGTCACCCACTTCCTCTGAGCCTCTGGAAGAGGAGCAGAGGCGTCATGGAGAGGACAGGCATTGCCCTCCTGGCCCAGGGCCTGCACCAGCCTCTGGGCAGCTTTCCAGGGCCAGTTGTAGAGGGAAAACTGAGTCACCCTGAAATGAGCAAAGGGAATCTGGGAGGCTGCTCAAGACGTGGGGGGAGGTATTTGTCACAGGCCCTGGCTGATGGGGGAATCTGGGCACCAGGAAAGATGGGGTGCTTGGAGGAGGTGTGAAGAAAGAATGCAGGGGAAGGGGGGGGTCTCAGAGTTGAGGCCCTTTTGGATCAAGGGCTCTGCCCTCTGTCATCCTTATCACCCCACTGGGGCACTTCCTCTCCCCCAGCACCAAGTAGCTGATGCTGCAGAGCTCCTCTGGACACCAGTGCTGGGGAGGAGGGAGGCAATCTGGGAAAATGAGCAAGGGGCAGGGGGTTCCCAGTGGTCAATTTTGGGGGAACTCTGTCCCATGAACCACAATTGGAGAAAGTCTGGTCCACACAGTTACTTCTGGAATGGTCTAGGGCAGCATCTGCCTGACTCTCTGGTAGCAAGTGACTCCTAGAACGGCTCCACGGGCTGTTTGTCAGAGAAGGGGCAGCTGGGGAGAGTTGTGCCTCCACAGGCCCTGCCCAGAGGTGGGAGTCCCGTGGGTGGGGTGGAGTGAGGCTTGAGAGCCAAGACTTGGGGTTTGCATTGGGAGGGTGGTGAAGGGGAGCAGCTGAAGTAGATCAAGGGCCAGAGCCCCCGACAGGCTGGGGAGGCTTCTGGGCCTCAGGGAGCAGCTCCTTTGGGGAATCCCTGGGAGAGCGTGGGCAGGAGACCAACCATCTACTGTACACCCCCCCAAAGGCACCCCACTCTCAGATTTCCCCTCACTCGCTGTTGGGGCCCCTGCCAGACACGGGCGCCTCTCTGGAGAGGCAACGTGGGTCAGTGTTTAGGGCATGGGCGTGGGTGCTCATTTCTGGGGTCCAGCTGGAGCTCCACCCCTCTTTCTGTGATCTCTTCAGCAGCCTGAGCCTCAGATTCCTCCTCAATGAGGTGAGGATCAGGGAACATCAACGAGATGACAACAGGCAAGACGTAGTTAGGCTGGCCCTGGGACCACAGCCTTGGCTGATGCCAACCGCGGCGTGATCTTGGGCAGGTGTCCCTGGCCGGGGAAACCTTCCAGATAGGGGCTTGGGGAGCAGTGCTGCTGTCAAGCTCCCGCTGCTCCCCGTGGGGCACAGCCAGCCAGCTCCCTGCAGGTGCGGGGCCGGGTGCAGTTCGTGCCTTCCTGGGCACCTGTGAGGTTCGCCTTGGTTGTGCCAAGTTGGGTGCAGGTGAGAACCTCCTCTCGCCTCTCGGGGGCTCAGTTCTCTCATCTATAAAATGGGGGTTGTTTGGGGGTTTGAAGGAGGAGGTGCTGGTGGGGTGTGGGAAGCCAGGCCCGCTGTGTGAGCACTATGGGCTGGTCCCAGAACTCGCTCACAGCAGCTGGCAGTTGTGCTCCAGGCCTTCTCCAGGATGAACCAAGCTGGCACCTTGAGTTCCCTTCTCTCAGCCTCTCGAGAAGCCACCAGTTAGACCCCCTAGACCCCCGGGACCCTCTTCCTCCTGCGAGTAGCCTCCAGTCAGTGCAGGTGGTAACCTTCCCGAGTCACTGGGCTGACCGGTTGGAATGGTCTGGCCTTTTCTATTTGCCTTATTCACAGCTTCTTGTTTTCACTCGTTCTTACAGAGAGAGAAAAATAAGGCAATCCCATGCTTCGTAAGTGACAGAACAGTCAAGGAGGGACCTGTCTTGTTCCCTCCCTGCAGTAACCCACGCAACAGATTCTTCTCACCTGACTGGGCTGCCTCACCGACTTTAACATTTTTTTTTTTTAAGATTTATTTATTTATTTATTATACAAACACTGGGTACAGTCAGAAGCGCGGGAGGGTGAGAGAATTCACCAGAGCCAGAGTGGGGAGCAGAGCAGGCAGAAGGACCGAAGCACACTGCTGAGGGGAGCAGCGGGCGGCAGGAGAGGTCTGCGCGCCATGTGGGACCCTCGCCTGCCGCCGGGGATTGAACCAGCGCTGCAGAGGCTGCGGGCAGCTTCCCAGCCCAGTGCCCAACCGCTGCGCCACCGTGGAGGCCCCTTAACTTTAACTTTGCCTTTTTCCCTGGACCTCCAGCTCTTAGGAGATGCAGGTGGTCCTCCTTAACTGTTAGAATGTAGTGTTTTCTCTTAGGTGGGCCAGGGCCTGGGCTTTCAGGGAGCACAGCCTTCCTAGCCAGCGAAGTCCTCACGGCCAGGGCCCCCTTCCTGTCTCCTGCGCCGAGCCCCACCACCCTGTAGGGGCGAGGGCGTGAGCCAGCGTGTGGCCACCGTCCTTCTGGGCAGCGTGAGGACGGATGTGCAGGGCCGGCCCCCGCACAGGGCCAAGGAGACCCCGAAGGACACTGGGACTTGTTTTTCCAGAGCCCAAGGCCTGCGTGGGTGGTTCAGATAACGAGCGCAATAGGGCTCTGTCGACTTGCCCAATGGGGACGGGTGATGAAATGGTTCGATCCACCTTGTTGTCTTCACTGTGTTGACTTTCAGTGACTCTGTTTGACTTTAACGAACCTCTTGCTGCTTTCGTTTGATAAGATAAATGTCCAAACGGACCCTAATGGGGGGGCTTGGGTCACCTGCGTTAGAGCTGATACTTTTCAGAGAATTTGCTCCCTGCCAAGCTCTGTTTCCATCCGGCACTGTGGGTGCCCACGAGGAAGCTGGGGCACAAGAGTCACTGGCATGCAGTCTGCTGCCTCCTCGTCTTCCCCTCCCGCTCCCTTTCCTGTCTCCCTTCTTTGGGGTCCCTCCTTAGGCCTGTGAGGTCATTTTCCTTAACTCCCCCATCTATCAGGTCACTGTTCACATGTTTTTTCACCCACTGGACATGGGACACCTACTGGCTCAGAGTGTGCAACGGCGAGCAGATGTGGTCCCACCATCCCTTCACAGCCTGGTGGGGGCCAGGCTGGGGCCACAGAGGCCCTTCCGGCTGTCCGGTGAGGGAGGGTGGGCTGAGGACTGGAGTGGAGTGTGCACTGACAAGAGGAGCCCCGGGCAGGAGCAGCAGGGCACAAGCAAGTGGGGGAAAGTGCCAGAAAGAGGGGGCCTGAGCCTAGGACTCCAGAAGTTGTGCTGGAATCACACCATGATGTTCTGTTCATGGTCTTGCCAACCCTCCTGCCTCCCCCTAGATAGGGTCTCCCCTGCCCCCCTAAGACAGGAGGGAGCAAAGACTCAGTAGGCTGCACAGCCAGCAGGGCCCCGCAGACAGGACTTTGTTGTACATCTTTCCTGTCTGCCTGGACCTTCCACCCCATCTCAGCTCTGGGGTTCCGGTCCCCTTAACCCACAGCCCCCCTCCTTCATACTAATCTAGTAGCTGAGACGCAATTTCTCTAGAGAGAGTCCCCCCCATGGGGTCTGTTTATTCTCCAACATCCCTGACCTGGCCAGGATGGGGACTGATCCTCCTGGCCCACTGCTGCCTCCAAACCTCTTTTCCAGCAGCGCCTCCCTGCATGGTTCTACCTTCTCCCAGACTCATCCTGATGCCCGCAGGCCCATGGACCCAGCCCATGTCACAGGAGAGGGATCTCTGGGTCCAGCCTGGTCTTCTGTGCCACTCAGCACCTTGTGATGGCTGTGCAGCGGCCCTGCCTGCCCTCATCTCCAGCCCCCGTGCAGCCGCTTGTGACCCAAGGCCACGGTCTGCACCTTGATGGCAGGGCTGAGCTCTGAAGTCGACTCTTCAGCAACCGTCCTCTTCTCGACTGCCCTCCCCGCCTGTCCTGCCCTGTAGGACTGCCAGTGTAGACAAGCGGAGGTGGTGGCATAACCGACTTAGATGACAGCTAGTCTCTGTCCTACCCTTGTGGCAGCCGGGGTCATGTCCCCTGAGATGTCCATCCTCATCCTCAGGACCAGGGGGACGCAATGGGGAGCCTCCAAAAGGGGGACAAGAGGGTCAGATGCGACGATGGAAGCAGAGGTAGGTGATGGGAGGAAGGCATGCAGGGACCTCTGGAAGCTGGAGAAAGCAGGGCAAAGGATTTTTCCCACAAGCTTCCAGAAGGAAGTCAGCCCTGCTTCCACCCTGAGTTCAGATGCCCAACCTCCAGTCTGTAAGACGAGACGCCTGCGTCATTGTTCCAGTAGCCATGTAGCCCCCTTTGATTTTCCTTGTGCCCACGCAGCCCGCTCTGGTATTGGGGGCGGCCACCGGAGACACGCTGGCTTCTCGTTGCTCTCACAGTAAAGCCCCAGTTCCGTGGCCCACCTCCCTGGTCTGGCTTGTCCGGGCCTCCCTTCCACACTCCTGCAACGTGTGGGTAGGGGCGGGGTGTCAGCCGTGGCCCTCTGCCCCACCCCCCACCTGTGTCTGGATGACCAGCCAGCTGAGACTGGTTTCAATTTTTTTAAAATACTTGAGATAAAATAAAATCCAAAAAAGCATCGCACTCTGTAGCACAAGAAAATTCTATAAAATCCGAATGTCAGTGTGAGAACCTGGTGGTTTGTCAGAACAAGCCGCGTTGGTCCAACTGCTGTGTGTGTTTTGGGCCGCGAGGGCAGGGCCGAGGACCGCGAGGGCAGCCAAGCGGCCCGCAAAGCCTCACCCAGGAGGCCCTGGCCTGTCCCGCACGCCTTTCTGACCCTTGCTCCGGGCTCCCTCCCATTCCAGCCTCGACTTGTGGTTTGAGTCTTCGCCTCCCAGGCTGCGGGCTTTGGGGAGGCTGCTCCGGGCCGGGAGGGAGGCACCCCTCCCTCCTCTTCCCACCCCGACGCAGGGCGACCCCCCCCCACGAGGTCTGGGAC